CATAAATGGGGGTAAGGCTAGCCGACATTCACCTCTCCCAGACCCTGCGTAAAGCAGGAGCCTTGTGCACTGGGTACGACCTTTTTTATTCAAGTCTATGGGCATCCTAATAGTTACATCATGAATTTCTTATTGCAGTTTACACCCCATCCGCATGCTGGAGACAAGTGGTGTATCTATCCAAGTTATGATTATGCTCACTGCATTGTTGATTCTCTTGAGGATATCACACATTCGGTATGCTTTCTAGCTTTGAGTGATATTCTTTCATAATAATAGTTGTGGCACGATTCATGAATCATGATTGTAAAATCAAGCCAAGTTTATCATAATTCATTGGGGCATCTCTCTCCCTCCCTCTGTGTTTTCACACTATTATGCAAATGTTGATGGTTGAGTCATCCTGTATTTTTTTTTTGTTAGTCATCCTGTATTTGAATATTGCAGCTTTGCACACTTGAATTTGAGACTCGCCGTGCTTCGTACTACTGGTTATTAAATGCCCTCGGACTTTATCAGCCATATGTATGGGAATATTCACGACTGAATGTCAGTAACACTGTCATGTCAAAGCGTAAGGTGAGTCAACTACTGAACATACTTCTGTTAAGAGTTATAATGTTCGATAACTACTGAACTTACTTCTGTTAAAGAGTTATAATGTTGATATATAATTGTTATGCATGGGCCTTTTCCTCACTTAACAACCACCATTTATGTTCCAGTTAAATCGACTAGTGACACAGAACTGGGTTGATGGTTGGGATGACCCACGTCTTATGACACTGGCTGGTCTACGGCGTAGGGGTGTTACTTCAACAGCAATAAATGCTTTTGTTAGAGGAATTGGAATCACTAGAAGGTATGAATATGTGTGTGCGCGCGCTTGCTTTTCGTGCTCTCAGTATATTGTGCTTCTTCATTGTCATATATGACCTTGTGATTCTTTCTGCGACAGTGATTGTAGTATGATACATTTAAGTCGACTTGAGTATCACATAAGAGAGGAGCTAAATAAAACAGCTCCTCGCACGATAGCTGTACTACATCCCCTCAAGGTGTGTATCTTACTGCCATTGGTTTTCTGGTGGTATTTTTCTTCCAACTGTGTATGACTCATCATTTTTTATTTAAGGTGGTTATTACAAACCTGGAAGCTGGCACTATAATGGATCTAGAAGCAAGGAAGTGGCCTGATGCTCAAGCAGATGATGCATCTGCTTTCTACAAGGTAACCTGATTTTGCTGATTTCTATTATGCATGTGGGGTAATGCTGTGAAATTGTGAATATTTTTCATGGCTGTTTTAATGTTCATTGCTCTTGAATTCTGTTAGTCTGATGTTATCCGGTTCCACGTGATTAGACAAATAATTATAGTATTAGAGTACTTATGCATGGATTTTTCATGCGTTGGTTATTTCTGAAATGGTGAATTAATACAAACGGAGAATCACTTTGTTTTGGCTTTTGTGTTAAGAATTCTGCATATTGTTTTTATTAAACGTTGCTCCAAGCTTTAGGTACTTTAATTGTCACTGAATTTTTTAATTTCCTTCGCATCAGGTTCCCTTTTCCAATACTGTTTATATTGACCAGTCTGATTTTCGACTTAAAGATTCAAAGGATTACTTTGGGCTTGCTCCTGGTAAATCTGCCCTGCTCAGGTACATACAGATTACAAGTTTTCACTTTACACTTCAGCATATTTGGGGTCCAGGGTTACAATATCTATGTTCATGTTTGCAGATATGCGTTCCCTATTAAGTGCACGGATGTCATATTAGCTGATGATAAGGAAACTGTTCTTGAGATACGAGCTGAGTATGATCCTACAAAGAAGACAAAGCCAAAGGTCTACGGTTCATCTTTTCACTTGTGATTGTTATTTGATGCTTGGAAACTATGCTTTGGTGCTTCGTAGTCTATTTTTTTACCGGTCAATTTGTATATTCCACAGGGGGTGCTTCACTGGGTTTCTGAACCTTCCCCAGGTGTTGATCCACTCAAGGTGGAAATCAGATTGTTTGACCGACTGTTCCTTTCAGAGGTTGGCCATCATTACTCTCTCTCTCTCTCTCCCCCCCTTCCTCTCCCTCCCTCCCTCCTTCCCTCTCTCTCTCTCTCTCTCTTTCTCTCTCTAAATCTTTCGGAAATTTGTTTGACTGTCAGAATCCTGCTGAGCTCGAAGACTGGCTTGCTGATTTGAACCCACAATCCAAGGTGATAATACCCAATGCATATGCTGTGCCCTCACTTGGAAGTGCTGTTGTTGGGGACACTTTCCAGTTTGAAAGGCTCGGTATGTTTCTAAGTCTTCTTCTACTTGAAAAAGGTTCTTAAGAATACAAAACCATCTTTATTCCAAAACTTGCATGTCAGAAAAAGGTTACCGTCAACTTCATGTTCGTTGATTTCTCGATTGATTTCAAAGCTTTGTTTGTTTCCTTGACGATTAATTAAACCAATCTTGCTCTAGTTAATTATGTTTTTGAGGCAAGAAGTATTCTTTCAAGTGTGTTGACAACAGTGTATATTGAAGTTGTCTGAGGAGACACTATCTTTCTGTAATGCAGGATATTTTGTAGTTGACAAGGATTCAACTCCTGAGAAGCTCGTGTTCAATCGCACTGTCACGCTGAGAGATAGCTATCGCAAGGGCGGGATTTAGGTTACACCTTAGCGGGACACGAAACTGAAAATTTCGGAATTCAGTAAGTTGATACGAATTGAAAACTCACTCTCTTCGCTGTACTGATGTTATGTGCCAGCAAGCTTTTTATATTTGAAAATACCAAATGGACCGAAACCTAGATTAGTGTGTGATCCTTTTGTCAAAAGAAGAAAAATGAAAATTAGGGAGACCGTATCATGCCTCTGCCTGGTTTTTATGTTTCGTGTTAAATTGAATAACTTGTAAGATTCAATGTATCTTGAAGTAAAGATATTTAAATTTGGGGGATCATAAGTCTTTTATAAATTCATTTTGTTGACTTCTTTCTTCGACAAATCTTGAATGTATTGATGACTCGTTTCCTAATGTGTAATTAGAATAAGTGGAATTGAATTGAGGATTTAGAATATGTGGAATCATAATTAGATTCTCGTTAGAGCTGTTTTCTAAAATTTTCAAAAATCGGAGTATGAATAGTATTGAACTATATTAGTTGTTTATTAATTCACATGAATCGGAATGAAAATCAATGTGATTTGCTAAACTGTCTCTACTCTGGTAATCTATTTCAGAAGCAAATTTCATTCTACTTTGTGAGAAAAACTTTAATTCTTTTTATTTTTTATTTTTTATTTTCTTTTGCTGAGAGAACAAAATTTGGTGTTGGGTTATTACGAAGGGCAATTTTGAAATTTTAAGAAATAAGTGGAGGCATAATGGGGAGGAAAAGTTCATTCTGATTTCCCCAATTTTTGGAAATTTTTTTTATTGTGACGAGAACATAGTTGGTACACCACGTGTTTTTATGTAAGTGATGGAAAATTTTATTTTTTAAGCTATTAACTTTTTAACACACATCCCACCATTTGTATAATAACACACTTGATGTATCATCTCGTGTACCGGTCACACTGAAAAATCTCTTCAATTTTTGAGTTGAATTTCAAAATTTGTGCGTGTCCCACTAATATTTTAATTCTCCAATATTTAAACACTGAAGAATTCAGTTATTAGAATTCAGTCCCGCTTTTGAGTGTCAAATCAGGTTCGTTGGATTGCCATGAGTGTCTAATCCGATTCTTTACATTGGATTGGATTGGATTACCCCCAAGTGAGAAAGGAGCAATAAAAGAGGTAAAGAAATCATGTTGGCATGCAGTCGCCAGTGTTGACATAAAGTACGAAAATCAAAAGCCAATCAGCTGCCTCCTCTGCGCTTACTGCTGTCCTGTGAAAGATGGATCCAGCGTGTGAGAGTTCAGTCTCTTCACGCTTACTCGTGAAAGCGAAAGACTGATTTGATTGAGATTTTGGACGGATGGTATAGTGTTGGTATTATTCTGATTTCCCATCATTTGGTTCCAAAGCCAAACCCTCACATGAAAACTTAGCGCACCATTTTCCATTTGGCTCTCTCACACCTCCCTCCCTCTCCCTCCCTCTCTCTCTCTCTCTCTCTCTGGTGCCCCGCTTTTTCAATTGATAACCCACCCCAACCCTAGTACTGACCATCACTTTAATTCATCCACATTTCACACAAGTTTACAACAAAAAGCACCCACGAATTAGATGCTCTCTCAAACTCACATACCCACCATAAATTTACGTAGATCGATACTTTAGTCTAACAGCTACATCAATCGATACTTTGGTCTAACAATTAGGTTTATCTAAATCGATCGATACTTTAGTCTGACAGCTAGATCGATCGATACCTTAGTCTAACAGCTACATCGATCGATACATTGTTCTAACAGCTACATCGATCGATACATTATTCTAACATATAGATATACGTGTGTTTGTTAGTTAGTCGGAGTGTTATGCATGCTCCATTCTTCGAATATCGCAATCACAGTTGGATTTGTTAAAAAAGAAAAGCATTCTTATTATGGATGTTGTAACATTGACCACGTGGTGACGTGGAATCATATGGTTGACCGTTGGAAAAATAAGAAAGATGTAAAATCATTAGGGTTCGATATCATTTCATCGCCATGTAATCTATTCTATGACGTGGCTTCTTGCTCCTTTCAACAAAATAGCTGCTTCTTCAATACAACTCTTTTTTTTTCTCGGTAAACTTCTTCCATAATTCGATTCTTTCGAACCAAAACATTTTAGTCATTGACACATTGTCAATTGTCATGTCGGATGACAACGTTTTCCAACTATGAGAACAAGGTCAAATGTATAGAAGTGAATTTGGTCAGTTGGTTAAAGAATACCGTTTTCAACGGTCGCTCACCTAAGTTTGAATCTCTCTTTCTTAAAGTCTCAATTAATTTTTAATATATTATATATGTCGTCTTGTCAAACAAAAAGAATAAGGTTCAAACAGCATCAAATTACATTACTTGTAGAAAATACAGTTTGTGAACAACCATACATCCCATAACCCCTTAACATCTTCAACTCAGAATAATCCCCTGAAAATCTTCTAACTTTCTAGGTTGTCACGGCCCATCCATGTTCCATAAACTGTCAGTCACATTGTCCAACATCCAATCATTTCCCCCCATCTGGCAATCAAACTGTGAATTGCCAAGATTGCCCATTGCCGAAACAGGGTCCAGGCTGAGACCCTCCACGTCATAGCTACTGCTGTCCACGTAGTGACTGCCATCTGGACTTAAGCTGCTGTAGCCAAGTCGGTAATATGCAGGGGGAAAACTCGTGGACGGTTCTGCCATTTGAGGCACGTGTGAAACAAAAGAATCCGCCGAAAGGATATTACTTGGGACGGTGGCAAGATTGGAATTTCCACTAATGTGATAATTGTCCAACACGTTTGTCGCATTGCTAGGTGGAGAGGTTGAGAGTGGCACGGAAGGAGCTGCGTGATTTGGTGACAGACAAGGAGATGCGGAGTTCTGAGAAGTGCTCAAGGTTGAAGAACAAGAAGAAGAAGATTGCTCCATTTTTTGCAGCAGAGTCGGCACCCAGAAACCCCGAACTGCATCGAGAAATTGCTCGCTGTTCGACTCGATGTTCAGTTGGCGCGCCTGTTTTTGCACCCTTGTTCTCCAATAGTTCTTTATCTCATTGTCTGTTCTTCCCGGCAAATGCTGCGCAATTTTAGACCACCTGAAAAACGTACAAACATGTTATCGGTACATTTTAGACATTACAGACGCGTGACATAAAGAAAGGATATTTTGCATGGAGAATTCCTGACATAACAAACACCAACTTACTGAAGAATTACGGTTGTGACATACCTGTTACCCCACTTGGAGTGGAGTTCAAGGATCATGAGCTGTTCTTGCGGAGTAAGGTTCCCGCGCTTAATGTCGGGTTTTAAGTAATTTAGCCATCTCAATCTGCAGCTTTTTCCGGTCCTCTTCAATCCTAAAGAAAAACAGAGTTGAATGCTTGAGAACCAAGCAATGAAATGGACTCATTGACAAATGGTTTTGATCATGAGGCTAGCTGCTATTTACCTGCAAGTTTTGCTACAGAATTCCAATGGCCTTCGCCGTGGTTCACGATGTAATGTATAAGCAGATTGTCTTCCTCAAGAGTCCATGGCCCTCTTCTGAACTCATTTTCTTCATTTGGGGTTGTAGGAGCAGCCATAGCTGCTCTCTTGCTTGAGAGAGAGAGAGAGAGAGAGAGAGAGAGTTGTTTTGTTTTGTTTTGTTTTGAGGAAAGAGAGGGATGAAACTGAAACAGAAGGAAGGCAAATTAAGATTTTATAGAGCAGAACAGAACAAAGTTTCAAATAATTACAAATCTAGAAAAGTAAAACCCTAAAAGGAGAGTGTCCACATGCATTTTTGGCTTCTAAACTGTCCAAATGGAATCTTATGAGATGAAATTTTGTTGTATAGTCCATGGATTAGCCTTCTGAGGTGTAGCTAGAGCTTCTAGCTATGTGGGTCACAACAAAATAAACTTTTCTTGGTCATCCTTGGTCAAGTTCAAACCACATAATTATACAACTCTAGTAATATTGTGCGGGAGATCTGAGCAGCTGGTCGATTAACACAATACAATTGCTCGACCGTCATTCACATCCCGTAATATAAGTCATGCACTAGAGAGTTTATGATAAACTTACGTATGGTTAATACATAATGATTCCATAAATAGTTGAATAGATTTGAATTAGGTCTGAACTAAAGAAAGAAAAGATGGACGAGGTCCTTGAAAGTGAGACGTAGTAGGGTTTCTTTTCTTCAAGGGATAGCTATTTTCGTTTCCTTTCTTTTTGTTGTCTATCTGGATTCGATCCCTCCTTATACAAGAAACGTGATTGACTGGACAAAATATATTTTACGCAGATGCAAAACTACAAACGTGGAAAATGGCGTATTCTGTTTTGTTAAAAAAAAAAAAAAAAATGGCGTATTCTGAGTTGGGCTCCATCGAACCATGTTTCAAAGTATTCAACTTTATAAAGATATTGACGGTGTGTGGTTGGAATATAATGATGCCCCTTCCAAGCACAAAAAATCCTTTTGTTCTTTTCAGCGTGGTACAACATGTTTGCATCCAAAACCAGGTCATTACGTGTACTCACTTGATTTGTAATTAGCGTATTTTGATTGTACAAATATTGTAACTGAAATCGCTCATTTTTTTTTTCCATTATCGTTTAAAGTGCAATTTTGTAAAAACTCAATTGAATTAGAGATTGTTAAGTAACTCATATGTATCGAATAAATTACAATTTTGATACAAATTAATAGTTTCGTGATGAACCAATCTCATATTTGATACATATAGATAACTAAATTGAATCATCTCAAATTTGACTATTTTTGCAAAGATGATTTGTAAATAATTAGTGAGAAAATGAATGGCTTTAATTATAACATTTCACAGTGAAAATATGTTCTCAATGAAAATATGTTCAAGTGTAAGCACAAGTATTGTCCTAATAATAAAAGAATAATACCTAGGTGCACACCTTGGTACCTCTCATTGACTAATTTGTTGCGATTATACAATTTTCATTGTAAACGTGTCATAAACAAAATCGTTCAATCTGTTATCACAGCCTAAATATTATCCATACAAAAACAACAATAAAATTGAAAGTCGTTTAATCATCTTGATAATCTTAATTGTTTTCAAAATCGTTCATTTGTTTCGTACATATTATTAACCTTTTAATAAACAGTTGAAAGTGGCTAGATTGTAGGAAAAGTGGTACTAAGGAGAAAGAATGAAAGTGACATGGCGAGGTCTCAAAGTGGGAGAGGTGGCCAAAGGAGAGGACTCAGAGGAGAGGGGGGACCCCGTTCGGGTCGGGGAGGGGAGGAAGGGTTGGGGGGGGGTGGGGGTGCTTAAAGTTTTGAATAGATTCAAGGGCCTGGATACATGATGTCATATATCATGACATGAGAGAATCAATTATTTGAGGATAATATTTTTCCAAATTTAGTCGAAATGCTTCTATCATGGGAGGGAGATGCTCTTCTCATCCTACCTGTTTTGGGAACATGAGAAGAAAAAGCTTAGAGTAAAGGACCACTGAACTATTCAGCATCATGTGAGACTTGATCTTGATATATATCGAAAATGCACGCGTGCTTTCTTGGTCACCTCTGGTGGTGTGGGGTGGGGGTACCATAGCCATGAGCTGTGAATCCAAATGATACATGATTATTGACGTTAAACCACTATATTGTTTAGATTGTAGAGAGATAGATTGCTCAAACTCGAAGCAATCCATCCACAATCAAACAATCTAGCATCCCTGCAGTTTTGTACACAAAAGTTTTAGTGCTGCTAGTAGTAACATCACTCATCTTACATCGTATTCTATTTCTTTTAAGTTTCCGACGTGTGACTATGTATTCTTTGATATCTACTCGTTTTGAGATTATACCATGAAGAAGTTAGGACGGAGGAGCCTTATAATTGAAACATGAAAGCACTAAAAATGCACTTGGGATGTGTGGGCTGAGAGTGACAACTGACGCAGAGCACAAACAAAGGTGGCAGATGGAGCGTACACCTGTGAGTCTATTGACTTATTTGTAAAGGCTAGGTTCGATGAAAGGACCCGGAAAATTGGACATGTATGTTTGAGAAATGGTAGGGACCCTCTAAAAAATGTGATTCTCTATTAATTTTCCGTCACCTCGTATTTTTGGCACAATGTGCTTTATCATATTGGTACGAGAATTAACGTAAACTGCGAGGTGGAAGAGAATTCATGGAGAGTTTCGCTTTTGAGAGAATCCTCTTAGTATTACCTAGCAAATAAAAGAGTGGCATATTATTGTTTTAACTCGAGGCTCGAGTAGCTTGAAGTGATATAGTTTACAGGGATGAAGATTTTGATGAGGTATATGATGCTCATTCGTCTCTGGATGATCCATGTAGCTAGCTAGCACTTTTAGAACAAATCCCTCACCTATGCAAACTAGGATGGAATATGATCATAAATTCAATTTGACTCTCATCATTTCTTACTTAGGTTAACCCAGCATGGAAATTAGCCCTTCATAACTTCCAAACAACTGTCAAATTGAGGACATGTTTACGTACAAGAAATGAAAGAACGAAAGGATAGGAGAACTTAACAAAAGGAAAAGTAAGAAAAGGGAATAAGATTAATTAGCCGCCTTAGCCCCGTAGTTAATATGATGATTTTTCTCGTTCTTGATTTATTGTGTAGGTATCTAATTACGGATTTCAGTGAAAAATTCACTTTGAATTCAATCCCATATTTGTTAATAAAGTAGAAACTCAAGAAATGAAAAGGTGTGGATGGTAGTATTGCCGTGTCGTGTGTGTTGTTAATTTTGTGAATTTCGTTGTCGTTAGAATTCTGGAACTTGCTGGCCCCTGCCGTTTGGACTGAGCTAACATCTGGGCCTGTTGCCATTTCCAACCTTGCAGTTGCAGAGGAATGTATTGTGTGTCGTTTGAGCCCTTAGAAGGTCCAAGCCCAGTTGGTATTACCAGGGACTAAAACACATAATTTCAAATGCTAAATGTTCTTAATTACTTGTAAACTACTTCTCACTAATGAATTTATTATAATACAAGCGATTTTCGACAATAAGGAACAAAAATCCTCAAGTGTAGTGATAAATACTCTAAACCACTTACAAGCATATTTTTTGTTCTTTTTTCTTTTAATATGGAAAGGTACTATATACATTAGGATGTCAATAAAATATGTACAAGAGAATTAAATATAAAAGAAGTGAACTCTTGAAAAAAATCTTGCCGAGACTTTCAATCCAGAATCAAGGAAAAAAGAGGCCGCCATTACAGAATAAAAAATAAAAAAGATGCAATCACTCAATTGAACTATCCTCAATCAAGATGTCTGCTGCCATGTCCGATAGTTCCTCAAACCAAGCCACTTCATGTTGCTCTCCAAGTCCTGCTCTTACAAGCTTATGTTCTGCCTGATTTGCTTCTCGTCTAACATGACTAAGTTTGGATTGAGAAAAAACTTGAAAGGATGAGCGAAAATCATTACCTTGTTGATGCATCCTTCAAATTCTATTTCAGTAGCTCGCAACTCCTCTACAAACATGACGACCCTTCTTGCAGCGATCAACACTGCTACTTACAAGTCTCGTAGTCACAACAGGTTACAACAAGGTGTCCAGAAATTTTTTTTAGACTATTATGTCATTTTCAGTGAAATAATGTCTTACAACTTTTAATTTATGACTTCTCATTCCGTAATCATGTGACCTTCGCCTATCACTTTCCTCCATGATCATGCAGGAGGATATGGACATTAATTATGAACTTTAAAAAAAAAAAAAAAGAAGACCTCCGTTAATTTTGACCAAATGAGAACACCAAACCACTGCCTGCCTACCAATTTGGGTTACGACGCGTTTCTTAAGAGCAAATGTTTTGTTTAGTACTCGCACGTAGGCATGGTATAAGAGAAAAGACTAGAAGTTTACATATATATGCAACGTTACTTAACTGGTTCATTCTTTTCGATAAAATAAAATTCTGACTCACTTGAACTTAGATGTAAGAAGACGGACACATCGTTCTAATCAATTGACCTAACCCACATTTGTAACAATACAATAAAATGAGATTTGTATGGTATGGAAATTCGCCTAAACAAGTTAAGGTCCGTAACAGGCCATTTGTGATGTACCTTCAAAAGAATTTGGGCGAGGATGTTGACAGTCTCATTTCATTCTTATATGGTAAAGTTATCATTCAATTTCTAAACCCTAAACCCTCTTCTGTTTCCACCATTAAAGAAATAAAGTTTGGCACAGAATATGTGCATCCTAATTCAAAATCAAAGATTAGCTACAATACAAAATACAAATTGAATCAAGAATCAAAGGCTTATTAGGTGAAGATTGACTTTTAAATGATACTTAATTGTAGTCTTATATGAAAAGTTGTATACTTGATCTTACGAAAAAAGATTAGAAGGGATAAGAATATGTATATCGACAAAAGTAGGAGAGTACAATCAACTACACAACCCTCTCCATACTTTAAGCCATACCTAACAACTACTAGTAAGGTAGCAGCTACAACCTTGCTTAATCTTCCGATAATTTGAAATTCAAAACGAGCAAAATGCCAATTAACTTGAGATGCAAGGCATGCATATATGTATGCATGGCATATTATTATAAGTTGGGATTTTGAGGGGGATGGGGGGTTGTCAATGAGTCGGTATGGGTTATCAACGTGGATTTGGAATAGTGAGTGATCTGATAGAGAAATGAAGCTCTCCAGATTTGGAAAGTTGGGAGTCAACATTTTTATCAACTCTTTAGATTGTGAGCACTCCAATTAAGGCCAATGTTTATATTTGGGTTTACAACCTTTTATTGAATTGAGTTGAAGTGGAAACCTATATATGCGATTTGTGGTAACGTCATCATTATCCGTAAAGAGAAGATATACGTTCCCATCAAGAACAAAAATTGAAAACAAACAAATTAAGGTAATCACACCAAATCAAATACCAATTTTACATAATTCAACACTAAACTGGTTATATAGCCCCACGCCTCCGATGCCACACACACTACGACAATGAACCAACTTTCTTTACACTCAAGTTTGAATCTCATTCCTGTAAATTAAAGTAAGTTTAGAATTTTTCTTGCTAAAAAAAATTAGTGTATGACTCCTCTTACATGATATTCAAACATTTTTTTTCGGAATAAAAAAGTAGAGAGAGGTAGGGAGACAAAGTCAACTAATAACTTAAATGAAAATCTGTACTATAGCCAATACGCTTTTGGACTTAAGTTTCTATAAACTCAATTAGTCTGTCTCTAAAAGCATGCAAAACCGCAAGTTTCTGTGTAGACAAACGACTCGAAGTTTGGAGGATGGAACTGATAGACGATCTTTGCGATTTGGAGACTAGTCTTGGTGCCAATCATCATGAAATCATGACTCTCTCGGCCAATGACACCTCCTTTACTACCGATCATCATCATCAGCCCCAACCTGACCAGCTCCCTATCAACTTCACTCATCATATTCAAAGCTTTCCCCATAATTCTGATGATCCAAATCATGATGATTTCTTAGTTGCTCATTCCACAGCTCATCTGATGACTGGAGATTTTCGCCAAGAAACTGGAAAAGGAAAGGTACGTACTTAATATTGTATATGTAAGTAGATAGTTGCTCGCTGAAGAGCTAGCTTATATATGTTGTCTGGTTAATTACCTTGATGGGATAGATCATGTGTATGCTTAATTTATGGCTAGACTGACTTTATATTGATCATGTGTTTTCTCTCGATATTGAAATGCGCACGCGATTGGGGATTCTTGGCAGTCGTTTGGAGGAAGAAAGAGAAAGATAAACAATAGTGACAAAGATGGGGAGAAACTAAAAGAAGTGATCCATGTGAGAGCTAAGAGAGGCCAAGCTACTGATAGCCACAGTTTGGCAGAAAGGGTACAAATATTTCAGTTCTTTTAAATTGGACATGTTAACAGTATCTGGTTTAGAAGTACTACCAATCTTGTTAATTTTTCAAGGGCAGATTTTGAAGCAAATTTAGCTAATTCTCTTGCGCGCCTATATTAAATAGCGATAACAAATTAAATCCATAATATTCTGATAACGACACAGTTAATACATATATAGGAAAGATTATCAGTGTTGGTCTTGCGCATTTGTTTAACATTCATGGTATTACTAGGTAAGAAGAGAGAAAATAAATGAGAGGCTGAGATGCCTGCAAAATCTGGTTCCAGGGTGCTACAAGGTACATAATTTGATTTACTTGTCGCTTTGAATAAACTACGATGGAGTTCATGAGTTATTATTTTTTAAACATAATTGATAATGTTTTTTATGGTTGAATTAATTTGCAGACAATGGGAATGGCAGTAATGCTGGATGTGGTTATCAGCTACGTTCAGTCACTGCAGAAACAAATTGAGGTAAGTCATATCATAAATAATTAACCAAAACCATATCATGGAGATTTCTTATAATGTCACAATTATGGATCAATCATCGTATATATCCAAATTGAATACTAATAATTAAAGTGCTTTTTGTTTGGTGGCTTCCTAGTTTCTGTCAATGAAACTTTCTGCAGCAAGTGCGTATTATGATTTCAATTCACCAGGTGTGGATGCTGCGGACGCAATGCAACAGCAGCAGGTATAAATTTAGAAGTTTACAGAAATACACACACAGACACACATTAAATTACGAATTTGTATATCCATTATTTCTTCCCGTCTCAGTAATCTCAACAATGTTTTTCCCACTCCTTTTTCTCCTCATGCACACCATGTTTATTTATGACATTTCATTCAAGAAAAAAAAATTAACGGTAAAAAATAAATAGAAATGTACAGAAATCGTTTTCCTATTAAATATTTAAGGTTGTTAATGAAATTTTAAAAGATGAAAGTGATTAAGCGAGCAATGTGGAATGTTGCAGGGGACAAATACTGCATATCACGAGGTACAAGAGATGGCAGTAAGATCAGAGATTCAGAAGGGTATGGAGGACTTCCTCACCTCAACAACGCAGCATGGCCTATTTGAGAACTGAGAGTAAGTTCAATCTTCTTCAGATCTCATGCTCCTAAACCCTACATGTACATGTGGAGACAATGAAACACAGGACGATCAATACCATCTTCTCCACCTTCCATGGATCCCATATTACAATAAAATACTACTGCTTTCATGCTTATATAAATATATATTTATATATATCTAGTTGCATATATATTTGTGTAGGGTGCAAAACGAATCTTGTACTATTGTATAATAACTAAACTTCAGTAATATTAATTAACAGATGATATTGTACTGTACTTGTATCATCAATATCACCCATTACTGATCAGCATTATTCTCCTCAAAATTATGTCAGTTGTACCACATATTGACCGATAATATTGCTGATCGAGACTCACTTCTATCAAAGAGCGGTCAATGTATAGTCAATAAATGTGGTGCAAATAGTAGCACTCAAATTATGTTAATGATCGCAATGAGCTGATGGATAACTATAAAATTATGCGCTTGATGTTCCTTTTTTTCGTATCTCTTTGTATAGATCAACGAAAATAATGATAATAAGTATAGTGACGACCAAAAACCTTGAATTGGGGCTTGCATATGATTTTTGGTCTTGTGACCATCTACGCTACATTGTATAATCCAGACTGATCAAAAAGGTTGATGAGATAGATCAAAGTGGTAGTTAGTCAGCAACACACAGGCTCAGGTGCACTGCATCCTTAATAAGGGTTGGATCCCTGGAGGGACCCCGTAGATCATGATCTAAAGACAGCTTGATTTATGTATGATTGAAATGAGAGAGTGATCTGTCATGTGGGTTTCTAAGATTACCCTTAAAATTAAGGGCACTGATGCCTCAACGCGGTTTAAGTGATGAAAGAGAGGCAGCTGAGAATGATGTGTAGTAGAGAAGAGAACCATTTGCCATGGGTCCCCTTATTGGTCACTAAACGAAACAAAGGGACAGGGTCATGTACATTTGGGGGCATGTGCCTCTCAAATACGATTTTGCTTCACTGAACATTCCGAAGAGGGCAGGTTCAGCGACTCTAGTTGTAGTTGAGGTGGGAGGAGAAAACTTGTGTGAGTGTCCCGGCTATATCATTTGTAGGGCACTTTTACAAACGAAGTTTTTCTCATACCAACAAATTTTACACGAATGGGTTGCACATGATCCGAATCAATATAATGACGTAGCAACAACAATAACATGACACCATAACATCAATCCGACGCTATAATGACATTGTAACAATAAAATCTAAAATCTATTCATCCGCAACGCATGATTGAGGTTTGACCGAAAAAATTAGATCCAATCTCAACAATTTGACCCAAATTCACCACAAGAAGTATAGCCCAATGGGCCTCAATATATTATCATTTCCAGCCCAAAAGAAAATCCTTTTCCATGTGTTGTGTGTTTACTGCTTGGGTTTGATCGCCAATAATCCAAACAAAACCTCCCCAACGCAACTACCGTCTCTGTCTCTCTCTCCGCTCCGAGCACCGCCGAGCACTTTTGACTGAGCGGAGCTGGAGAGATGCTGCAGTTGCAGGGCCTACGGGCATTTTCAGTTGCCGAACCCACCCACGTGGCCCTCCCCTCCTACTCACGTGTCATCCGGACGTCGCTCCGCCCCCACCGTCAGTCAGCTTCCTTCCCGACGACGCGGCCACGTCTCCGATCACTCCCCAACGTCAGGAGCTGCGCCGCTCTCGCATTCGATTTCAAAGGTGGCAAAGGGTACTTTCTTAAAACGTTCAATTTCTTTGTTTAATTTGGCGGCATTCTCTATGTTGTGAATTCGAATCGTCATACCATTGCAATTCTTACACGAAAATATCATGGTTTTGTTTCAAGAACACGAAATGGATATCAAACGAGCCTTAATTTTTCGCTGAAAGGATTTATTTTTCAATTAAAGCCTTGGCCTTTTTGCACTTTGCAGGATGAGTGAGTTTCTTGATGTTGAGCTCAAAGTCCGGGATTATGAACTTGATCAATATGGTGTCGTTAACAATGCTGTTTATGCAAGTTATTGCCAACATGGTGAGTTAAACGTTTCTGTAATTTGAAAAGCCTTTGATTTTTAATCGCAATTTATGATTGGATCTAGCTAATTACACCTTTTTTAAATGAGCTGTTGATTTCCAATTTTTCCGTCTTCCATATGTCACCGGGGGATTCTTCCAGTCGAATTCGTGCTCTTAAAGGTTGTATTTACGGCAGAAATGTGTTTCATGGGGAATGATTCTGCGGTTTATACATAATCGAAACTTGTAAATGAATCCGAATTAAAAGATCACACCTTTTTTCAATCTTTGCAACTCTACTAAACAAGCTGAGCTGTTGTGCTTCAATATTTTGATCAGGTCGTCATGAACTTCTGGAAAGGGTCGGCATCAGTGCCGATGGAGTTGCCCGCACTGGTAGCGCATTAGCATTGTCGGATTTGTCACTCAAATTCCTTTCACCTCTCAGAGTATGTCTCGATATATCTCTTTAAGATATTTTTCCTACTGCAATGTACATGTTTGTATTTGTGATTGAGAATTCGGCCTTGTCACTAACAAGGTCTGTGCAACTAGAGTGGAGATAAGTTTGTCATAAAGGTCAGGCTCGCTGGCTCCTCAGCTGCTCGCCTATACTTTGATCACTTCATTTTTAAGCTGCCAAATCAAGAGGTTTGTTATTTGCCAGTCCTAAGATTTTTTACATCATATCAAGGAGTTGTCTCGACTCTCAACACATTGTGATCTTCTGATAATATTTTCTGAACAGCCTATCTTGGAAGCAAAGGCCACGGCAGTATGGCTTGACAAAAACTATCGTCCTGTCCGCATTCCACCAGAGGTGAAATCTAAACTTGTTCAATTTCTTCGCCACGAGGAGTCAAACTGATTTTCCTGCAACATGGAGTTTGTTGGATAGACTCCATTACAAAGGCTCATGTTGGATACGCATCTTGTTTCCGGGAAATGAAGCAAAAGAAGATTTCAGACACACTTACACTTCAAGAAAGTATGTTTTTAGTGTTAAAGATGTAACTACATTACTTGTTATAGTATTAATTGGACAAATTTGGTCTTCATTCTGTAGGATGATGGAAGAAAATGAGAAGCTCTAAATTATGTTCTTGAACTCATGGTTGGTTACTTTACGCCGTTTGTCACAATGGTAATGATTGTCACAGACCCTATTTATTTATAACTTTTAGACTGAATAATTCAATGGAACATCGAGAGACGATTTAAACAAGAGTTTGTAGAAGAAGAAAAAAGTACGTGCAGAAATTTATTTTTCTTGTCAGAGTTTTCAATATATGGGCCTTGAAGCATCTTGACGGGCTCGACATAAATTGTAACAAACACCAGACAGGCATTGGACCATTATGATTATGAACTGTTGTGTTAAGGCTCTGAGCCCGTTCGGTGATTGGGACTGGACAAGATTGGAAATCAATCCGAGCCAGACTAGATCGAGACACCACGTTTGTGCTTGTTGTTTCGACTCTTAGTTAGGGAAAAGAATTTTCCTAGGGATCCCGTAATCATGTTCGTTTATTGGCGATCAGAAATTATTTAAAATTTTCCTAGGGATCCCGTAATAATGATCCTAGGAAAAGATCCGGCTAGGATCCTTTTCCCTTAGTTAGGACTTGGTAGGAGTAGCAATACAGGAAAAGACAAGTCCTCGCATTATCCTCTATCCCGGATTTAAAAGGACCACAAAGGCATTCGCAGACAAACGTGATTTGTCTTGCCTGTAAAGAAAGAGAGTGATAGACACTGATAGATAGATAGAGAGAGGATGGAGAAGAAGGTGATGGTGGCGAACCATGAGAGCGAGTTTAGCCAACAAGCCTTCAATTGGGCGCTCGAAATTCTACGCGGCACCATCGTCAGTTCGCAGCTAGTCGTTCACTGCACAGCCCATTGACTTCTCTTCGGCTTAGGCTGCCAGTTTCAGAGCTGGCCGTAGGGTCTCTAAATCCGAATCACCCTACCTATTTCGCTAGTTCGACAAATCAATTGTTGCAGTTATCGGAGTGTAAGTTGGTAACTGTATGCTTGATCAGCTGTCGTTTTCTTATTTTTGTCTGCGCATTGTGCAGCTGCCGAGTGGATAACATTTTGCTAGAAAACCACCACAAGGTGACATTAGCTTCGTTGGAGAAAGCTAAAGAAATTTGCGCCACACATGGTGTACAAATGCAATCCCCACCAAGTATTATCTTTATCAAAATCTACATATGTGGGGTTGGAGAGATTTTTCAATGTTCCCGTCATACGAAGTGGTATACCACGTGTCCCTATATAAATGGTAGATTATATCTGTTAAAAGGTTAATAACTTAAAAATTAAAAAATTTCAGTACTTGCATAAAAACACTGGTGTGTACCCGTGTTCCCATCACAATTAAAAAATTTCCATGGGGTTGAACTAGGTGTTTGACTGGTAGTTTTGACCTGAGAAAACCAGCCATCTGTTTCTTCAACTACCATGTTTTACAAATATCCCGAAATATCAGATAAATAGAGGTAAACTCCCTCTCGTTTTGTCAACAAAAACCCGAAGGGAAAAAAATGGGGGAAGAAGCGATTGCGAGAGGAGAAGAAAGAATGGGAGAAGCGATTGCAAGAGGAGCTGAGAAGAGGGTGATGGTGGCCATTGACGAGAGCGATTGCAGTCATTATGCGCTCATGTGGGTTCTCGACAATCTCAAAGATTCCATAACCAACTCGCCCTTGATCATCTTCACGGCTCAGACTCCCTCCGCCGGCAACGTCATCTTCTCAGCGTCGCTCGGCAATGCTCGCATGTACTATCCTATGTCTTCCAGTTAAGTTGTTCAGTCTCTTCATCGTGTTTTTCTTTTGCTCTTTTATTTTCAAGGTACATAATACCGTACACATGTGGAGAGGAGATTTCTGTGAAATCCTCTGACAAATTGCTTGGTGCTACCTGTTCGTGTTATGGAATACAGATCAGGAGTTTGTTAACTCCTCCCAGGAAAATCACAGGAAGTTAGCGTTGGGACTGTTGGAGAAAGCTAAAGAGATCTGTGCTAATCATGGGGTAGGGCCAAATTTCTTCGTTCTTCAATCACAAAACTTTATGTGCGCTTGTGTGTGTATATATATATATTTTTTTAATATATACTTGTATTTGTTTGTATATTCGTATGAGTACTTTTGAGACTGCTTTTGGATATTCACTACTTATATGCGTTTTTGCTAGCAGCGCTTTTCGCAGAAGCAGTTCGGATTTTTACTAAAAATTTCAATACTTCCTAGTGCATTACTTAGAAGTGCACTTTTCAAAAAGTGCTTGTATGACCCAAAAACACTTTTATGTTTACCAAACCTTGTCAAGGGTAATTTTGGTTATCAGTAAGCAGTTTTAGCTCCACCAAAAATGGCGCTCTGATGTTCTTTGGGATACTATACTAATATACCATACCATTGTGAAACATTTAATTTAAGTTTACCATTTTTTTTTTCTCATAGGTAAATGCAGAGACAGTCACAGAAGTAGGAGATCCGAAAGCAGCCATATGTGACGCTGTCCAAAAACACAACATCAATCTGCTAATTCTAGGCGAGCGTGGGCTGGGAAAAATCAAAAGGTCAGTATCATTTCTTCCAAATTTCTATTTTTGTGTCTATTTGCCTGCATCTCGTTTAGGGGTCTGACGAATTTGATGTGCCGAGCTAGGGCAATTCTTGGTAGTGTCAGCAACTACTGTGTTCAGAACGCCAAGTGCCCTGTCCTCGTCGTGAAGAAATCACAAGCTGAAGGTGAAGTTGCTTGAGTGTGTTTTCATTTGGATGCTACTGGTATCGATTGAGACGATGTAAGAAAACTTGGTGTTAACTTATGACGGTTTATATGAACCTTGTGCTGTGAAAAAACTCTGTAGTGGAAAAGTAAGCGGTACGATATATTAAGGTTTATATTTGTGAAACAAAGATAATTCTAGAACAATACCTAATTATATAACTACCAAGTACAATATCTTTAAACTTGGAGGCATATATGCTTCTGGAAATCTTATTAACTTTAAGCAGAACAAGTGTTCTGTCACCCGAAGATGCGGTTGAGGGTAGCTGCTAAACGGACACCACCTTGAGCTAACCGCTTATGGACTATTGGTAGCCGGGAGAGGAAGTATTCATCTGCAAATTAACAATGTTTAACTTATTCCCTTCATTTTTTTTCTCCTCAATTTATCGAACAAACAAGCATACTACCATTGAATTCAAAACATCCATGCTTACCTTCTAGCACTGAACCTTCATCTGCACCCTTGTATGCCCAATCACAAGCCGCTTTGATACCTTCAGATGCATATCTGCAAATAAGTACCCCAGTAATTAGGTTAGTGAATCGTCTAGGCCGATCCTTGCTGATCTTATCAGCAAGTAGAACAGACTTAACGCAACCAGAAGGCTCGAAAACATAAAGTTTGGCCAATTTATAACATAAGCGAATGATGCATACACGTCGGGGCATGCTTTCTTGTTTAGGCTGCAGGTCTCCCAACCCTTAACTTGATCTGACCATTCAGTCTGTTTTCAAAGACATATAATAAGCATCAAAGAACAAAGGTTAGGATTCAGACATTTCAGAAAATATTCTACCACAGTTAGTCTAAGATACCGTAATGTTCTGTTTAATTGCGTCAATTAGTTCTTCGACATTGGAATCGTAAAACCTCTCTTCCGCCGTCTCAATTATGTTGTCATCCCAAATCTGTATGTAAATTTTGAAAAATTAGTTAAATTAAATAGTAGTTTTTCGAACAATGAACTGGAAGATGAGACTTACATGATGAAGATTTTGATTCCTCGTATACCAGTGAACGTCAATTGTGTTGCCTCCCTTGTCCGAAGCAAAACCTACATGCAGAGGCTGTGTAACACGGGTAAGATCATGATCGTGAGTTAGGGTAACATAACATCATGCGTGTTTGGTTATACAGATTGCGCCGTACCTGATGGATGTCTCCTATGAAATGGGAAAGAAATAGAAACGCCTGCGTGAGGTTATCTGATTATCACAGAAAAAAAATAGTAAAAAACAGAACTCGGTCACATAATCTTATAGTCCGCGATGAAAAGAGACTCTAATACTTCATTGATAATGGATTGATATCATAGTCCCCAGTACGACATATATATCAACAAAATACATATACATTTTTAATGATATTGATACATTATCAATCAATTGTGCGTCATGCAATGAGAATTCTACGTAATAGTAATTTTCAAAAGGTATAGTATTTACATTTAGGTTTAGACAACTGGCTATTGTAGGTCAGAAGCTGAGTGGTGTAATTCTTAATTGCCCCTGCAACACAACGCCCCTTCTCTCCATCCTCATCTTTGCAGTCCCCTGGAGATTAATCGTTAGTAATTACATGATTAATTAGAATTAATACACATATTATGCACTAATCACGTTTAAAGGAACATACTACTGTACTGGTAATTGCAAACTTCAGGAGTGTTAATGTAGTGAAGGGCAGATGACCAGGGAAAAATAAACTTGACACGATCTGCCCATAAGCACAGGCTGCTCCAGTCATTCTCTGCATAGTCTGGAAGCAGTTGCTTCACCGCATCCGCCGCCGCCTTGCTCAGCCTAGACTGTCATCACATCACCCAAAAAAAAAAAAAAAAACCACACCCGAATTTTGACTAAAAATTTATCCGATACGCAAAATATGGTATATCTTTATTACTCTAGCCAAGGTTAAGCCGAGGTATGAGAAAAATATGACGTTGGATAGAACCTGAGCAATTCTGCAGATTGTGACATGCCCATCATTGCCCCAGCCATGAATCACAGGAAAAAGGAGCAGCAAGCACAAGGCAATAACAATCTGGATCCTGCCACACTCCATCGCTTCCCTTTCGTCCGAAGAAACAAGACTGCTGAAAAATGCAGCTAATATATGACGGATTTTCTCTGGTTTTATAGTTAGTAATGAGAACACAAATTGGAAAGGAATTTAAATTTGAATTATGTGGATGTCATTTTACATATAAATTAACTTTTGTTTTTGGCAGGGATGGATATCGGATTTCACCAAATTGAATCATGTGGATGACATTTTACAAGCACGACAATGGTGGCTCTGTGTTCACACACTAATCGCCTGCAGTTAATGGGGGATTTTGAGGGTGTATATATCTTGGTTATTTAAGCAAGAAATCCTGGTTTTCGTATTTAAATAGGAAAGCACTTTTAAATAGAAAGAGATTCTTTGAAAGGAAACTAATGAAAATAATTTGAAAACTTTGAGTTTTAATGATAAGGACAAAATAAAGGGTAAAGTGAATAGTATCAGGATTGAATTTTTAGTGTAAAAATGTAATTTTTCGTTAAAATGAACAGTACCGTAAACTTTTCGTTAAAGTTCTTTTATTTGAAACGTGAAATGGTGATGAAGGTGGGAATGTAATGGTAACGGTACATGCCCTAGAAAGCCAAGGCAACAGAACGTACCAAGGGTCCAAAGTATCCCGTAATTCCTGGTTCTTGCCAATTAGGCTCTTTATTTACTCTACAGTCGACTAACAGAGATATTTTAGCCTCATCCTGGTCGCATGTCTTGCTTCCACATCAGCAGCGGGTTTCTTATATTAAGATCTATTTAGAAGTGCTTTAAAATAATTGAAAGCGTTTTTTGTGAAAATTATTTTGGAACCAATCTTTAGTAAAAATGAAAGTTAATTTTGGAAAAACACTTGAAATACTTCTTACAATAAACACATAACTTGTGCTTATTGCAAAAATCACTTTAAATGCTTTTGAAACACATGATATTTTCTTTAAAAACGTTTTCTGTCATTTTAGAAAATCTTAAGTGTTGGATTCACTTCTCTCACTTTGACTTGGCATCAAGGTTGATGCAGTTATGCACGGGTGATGCATGCATTAGCATATTGAGATTTGTTCCTCAAATTCAATTGGCGCTTTCAGAGTACGTCTCAAAATTTACATTTGGATCTCCTAAATTTTCTCCTACGTACGTTCGTACGTACCGTATGCATTCTTCAAATTGTTAATTACATAACATGACCCCTCATATGCAACCAGAGTGGTGACAAGTTTTTCACAAAAGGCTAGGGGTCGCAGCTCCTCAGGTGTTCAAGCTGCCCAAATCAAACAGTTTGTTGTTTGACGGCAATTGATTTATAGATCAACTAATTAAGAATATTTTATCTTTGCATCGTTGCATCGGAGTTACTTTAATACTATAATAATTCTTAAAAATGTGACTTTGAAAGATCATTCATGTAACATTCGTGTACCTAAAGTGATGTCTTAAGACAAAACTTAAGGCTAGAAAAAAGGCTATAATAATCGTTTTAAAATCAATGATCGCATTACTAACCTTTTCCTGTGGGCCTTGAGCCCAGGATCACTGTAAACAAAAAACGACAACGGCAACAGTGTAGGCCCATTTCATTGAATTTCAACATGAAGATGAAATCACCATAGGTCCTGCGCACAGATTTAAATATCGATATTATCGGCGAAATATTGCCGATAATATCGATTTTTCCGGTCGGCGATATTTTAACTGGTTTCCGTGGGGTTTTCGGCCAAATATCGCGATATTTGGAAATTATCGGCGAAATATCCATGGACGGTGGAATCGGAATCCGAGGCGACGTCGGAGAAGAACGCCGGAGACGGTGGGGCGATTCCCGGGCCGGTTTCGTCCCAAAAACCTTGCAAAAACACGAATCTTAACATTAATTTCACAAATATACATCAGATTTCACAAATATACAAACGATTCAAGGCAGGGTGAAGTCGGAGAGATTAGGGTTTAGGGTTTCATGGAATCTCACCTGACGAAGCGGAATACGAATGATCCTTGCTCCGCGGCGCACCTCTGACTTCGCCTGAGCCACGATCAACGGCGATCTGTGTGTGTGTGTGTGTTTGGGAGAAGAGAGATCGGAGATCTCTCTTTGTATGTGGGTGTTTGGGAGAAGAGAGATCGGAGAATGGAGATGAGAGATCGAGAGATCTCTGTGTGCATGTGTGTGTTTGGCAGAAGAGAGATCGGAGATCTCTGTGAGTCCGATCTCTGTGTGTGCGTGTGTTGGACTTGGATCCGATGTCAACCTGTGGAGCTCTCTGTGTGAGTGTGTGTGTGGGAGAAGAGAAGGGAGAAGAGAGATGGAGAAGGATGATCGAGAGAGAGAGAGACTGAGGAGCTCTCTGTGTGTGTGTGTGTGTTTGGAAGAAGAGAAGGGAGAAGAGAGAACGAGAAGGATCGAGAGAGAGAGACTGAGGTGTGGTCTGCGTGCGTGCGTTTGTGTGTGCGTGCGATGTGTTTTTTGACAGTGATGATGTGTGTGGGTTCCTCCTCCTGTCAGGAGGATAAACTCACTCAATATTTTTACAATTATTTAGACAATTTCATGCAGCTTTTACAATTATCAATTGTATTCTTTTCAGACCATGAATGGTGGTCATTTGTGTGTGTGTGTGGGTTCCTCCTGTCAGGAGGACACATGACTCACTCATTCTACACATAGAGATGATGAAGATAGTGACAAATTTTGAACCTCATAGGAACTCTACTTGCACTCATGGTTCTAAAGTGTAAAATATTGTACTAATTCATTATATATAAATGATTATGGTGTGTTTAAGACTTCTTTCATTAATTACTACATATTTTCTACACTCACAATGTTTGTCAGCTTCGCTATATAATCAACTTGATAATCAGTTAAATCCATCATGCAATGCATTTCCTTCCAATTTTTTGTGATAAACTAATAGATAATTGACTAAATAAACATCCTACAAAGTTTCAATAAAAATTTCCAAGTTTTTCTTACAATTTCCGTGGTTTCCATGTAATTTTTATCGATATCGATATTTTACCGATATTTCCATCGATATTTCCGTGTTTTCGGACTACCGATATTTCCGATATCACCGATATTTTCTTCCTTG